TTTTGATTCTAGGCCTTCAAAAGGCGTGAAAATATCGAAAATATGCGACGTTGGTTCTAGTCCATGATAAGTTAATAAATTTTTTTATGAAAAATGAAATTTCGCGAGTTTCAGGACCATCATTAGGGTTTCCGTATTTATGTACTAAAATTTGAAACGATTCGGTTCACCCAGTTTGGAGAAAACTTTTATAAACGATTTGACCCCTCAGAGACGCCTTTCACATCCCCTTAACCTAGCCAATATCCGAGGCTGGATAACATAGTGTAAGTGATAATAATATCCGGACGGAACAACTCCGGATGACACATAAACTTCTCTTTCGCACTCTTTCGTGGGTCAACGGTACTCGACCGCGTCCTCTTATTCCGCGTACGACAGCTGTGCAAATCGTGAACGAATCGTCGACGTTAAATTCGGCCGCGCTCTGCTCTATTTTACATATTAGTGCCCAAACGTCGTCGTATACGAAGTCGCCAACGGGACGAAATGAAATCCACGCAGGAGCGTGAGCAAAGAAATCGCTTCTGAACGTAACACCGATGAAATCGTCGCGAGTAGAGTTTTGAGTCGCATAAGTGTGAATGTCGCGAAACGCCATCTGCTAGGACACGACGACGTTCACCCCCCGCGGTAGTTAATGTTTACGGGATTACGTCGCATTATAGGCGCTTTGCGACGTAATTTCCCTTCGTAGGGAGAATCGTTTCCCCGGGGCTTGAACGTCCTCTTCCTCGTCGTTGTCGTCGAACTCCGGCGACGGTGGCGCAGCTCCCTCATCGTGATTTCTCGTCGTTCCACCCCAGACATGCGGGGTGGTGCCGAAACTTCCTGCAAGAAAAAAGATATAAAATTTAAATGCGTAGGTTTTTTATAAGTGCGGAGGAAAAAAACACTAACTATTCCTCAGTCCCGCGTACCTTCATGAGAAACGACGAGGCGTCGAACGAATCAGAGCTGGATTCCGCGCTCGGAAATTGCACGGGCGGAACGCTATCTATTGAAATGGAAGAAGAAAAAGAAACGCTTTTACTACCATTCATACAGGGCGGAGGAAGTGAAACAAGATAAATGATGAGAGAAAGAGAGAGAGAGAGAGAGAGAGAGAGAGAGAGAGAGAGAGAGAGAGAGAGAGAGAGAGAGAGAGAGAGAGAGAGAGAGAGAGAGAGAGAGAGAGAGAGAGAGAGAGAGAGAGAGAGAGAGAGAGAGAGAGAGAGAGAGAGAGAGAGAGAGAGAGAGAGAGAGAGAGAGAGAGAGAGAGAGAGAGAGAGAGAGAGAGAGAGAGAGAGAGAGAGAGAGAGAGAGAGAGAGAGAGAGAGAGAGAGAGAGAGAGAGAGAGAGAGAGAGAGAGAGAGAGAGAGAGAGAGAGAGAGAGAGAGAGAGAGAGAGAGAGAGAGAGAGAGAGAGAGAGAGAGAGAGAGAGAGAGAGNGAGAGTGGAGAGGGGGTGGGATGGTAGAGGAGGCGGAGGAGGGGAGGAGTGGGCGAGGGGGGAGTGACAGCGAGGGGCAGGGGAGAGGGCGGGAGGGAGAGAGGGGGTGAGAAGGAGGGTGAGAGTGAAGGAGAGGGAGGGAGGGGGGAAGAGGAGAGATGGGATATGTGGAAGGAGTGAGGAAGAGGGAGAGGGAGAGGGAGAGGGAGAGGGAGAGGAAGAAGGAGGGAGATAAGATCTGGGCGGAGGAAATGAAAATATATAATCGCGGACTTACCTTCGCCCATTTCGATGCGATTTCATGGTGGCGGCGGCGACGACGATGACGTCTCGCTGATCCCCCATGATTTAGCTTCTTGTTCTTCCTCGCTCATGGAAGTCGGCGTGCGGCACATACCCACCGACTCGATGTAGCCGTCATCGTTCTCGTACGATTGAGTGGGTTTAATCGGGAGGACGTTGTCGTTGTCGTCGTCGACGTTGTCGATGGTGATATTTGGGGGAGCCAGTCGTATCACCCCTTTCCTCAACTCGGAAAGCCGTGGGAGAATCAGGGTATCGCACGAATCGTCGCAAATAAGGGGCTCGGTGTTATTATCCATTACCACCACCACCATCACTACCACTACTATCACTGTGTCCCTAATTGACGCACTTGTTCGATATTCTTATCGTCGTCAACGCCACGGTGAACGACAAATCTCGCATTTGATGGACCCAGCTCATCGGGTCCACGCTCGACCGATACCACGGCATTGTCCTCGCCATCGGTGAAAACGTCGCTATCTCTGCGCCGTAACTTGGCCGAGAAGGAGCCTCCGAGTACACATCATCCGCGCCTCATCTCATCGGTAGCAGTCAGGGTCATCTCTAGAACCCCTACCTCCTGATCTGGCTTCTGGCCGGGCAGTCCTGTAAGTCCCGGGGGCAGTCGTACCCGAGCCTCCAGGGCCCGTCTACAGCCTGTCCCCGCAGGCAAGACCATCAGGGCCGACGTGACCCTCCGGGGGGTGAGCCCGATGGGCTGGTATTGTTCGGAGTCACGACTACCTCTGCGGCTTCACTCTTGACGCCGGCAGGACAAACGGTAGCGAGCGGGCGGCCTCCACAAGGTCGGCGCTGTTAACGTTCAGGCCTAATCGGCTAAATTTTTGCCAAAATCTACCGGAATTTGGCGGACTCTTGAACATTCGGCCAAATATTCTACAAAATATTCTCGGCAAATGGCCAAGAACGCGCCCTAATCGCACTAAAGACGAATGTTTCACGGGAAATGAATGCGAAATTTCAAACAATAGTTAAATTTGTCCTGAAACGTCAGCGCCGAAATATTTACATAATCAAATGTCATGTTTTCGTCCCCTGAGATGGGTGACCGCTAGGCCCTGGATCATTGAAAACCTTATAAATGATCAAAATCGCAAGTATTGGACGATTCGTGATGCAACCAAAATGTACCACACGTCACAATATTTATGCCAGGCATCTTATATACGTATACCATATGTACTTGTTCCGTGTAGGTAATAATTTGTCAGCCCGAGCGTTGGAAACCTCGTTGATAACTGGCAAATTTGGCTGGCAAGCGGCAAGATAGAATTGGAGAAAAGTAGCTAGTAAAAAATCGTGATCAAATTTCTATCTGAGTAGTGTTTCTGTATTTTGAGTAATTCCATACCGGGTCATTCAATTTTTCTTTCAAAATGCTCAGAAGATCCATGTCAATAGACTTTTGCTTTCCCATGGGTTCTTGACAAAGGACAATCAAACAAGCTAAGGATCCACTCAATACCGCTTCATCTTTTCTCTTCAACAAGTCCACTAATTTCTCCATAGTCCCGATTTCGATTGCGTGAATTTTCACATTCGTGCTTAACAAGGACTGCAGACTTTCCAAGTGAACTAACTTAAAAGAGTAACAGAAATAGTCAAATAAAATATATATTTAATATTTGACAATTAATATAATTCCAAAAATTATACTGGAAAGACTTCGAAATTTGTCAGAAGTTTTGTTAAGAAAGTATTTGGGTAATCACGTTTAGCAATTAATGTTGAACAACATCTCAGTTTTAATACCATTTCAGTTTTGCTACGCATTTAATTTGAATTTAACGAATTGCATTTGAATTTTTTCCAATGTAATTTCAATAAACTATCATTATAAATTTGTTATAATTTTACTCGATTCAGGAATGTACTTAACAATTTTAACTTATTTTAAGTAATTTGTACTTAATAATCTCATACATTGTTGCATCTCATTTAATCTACCCCTTGTAGTTAGTCATTTACAATTATTTCATAACTTACGCCATTAAGGTGATACGAGAAGGTGATTCTACATGTATCAAAACGTCAAAATATTTATAAAACCTCTCCAAACTAGGTGTTTCGAACAATTTGAAACCTTAAGATGTGATTATGAAGGTCCTAATGAGGATCTTAAAGTTCAGAAAATTTCATTTTCCTAAAAAAGTTACTTATTATTATTAGAGATAAATAAACTTTTTTCTAAAAATAAAATTTTGCGAATTTTAAAATGTTCATTGGAACTTTTATAATCACGTGTTAAAATGTCAAATTATTCAGTGCACTCAGTTTGGAGAGAAGTTTAATGAATATTTTGATTACTTGATGTGTGTGTGTGTCATAAATGACACTTTCATGACACCTTAATGATCTAATGTCAGTGGAATTTCAACCCGAAACATCCTCAATATCACGAGCCTCAATACGTCCTAGGACGATAACGTGCTCATATTTCTATTCCGCGTATACGCAAAAAGGCGCGTAAACCATTCTTTTATTATATAAAGTACTATATGCATCCCGGAGTTAAGGTCTTTTATGCGCCACGTGGTTGCAATATTAGTCTTTGGTTAGTGTGCCCACGAATATATGATTTGTCTTGCAAAGTCAGCTTGGGTGCAAAAAGACCGACTTTGCCTTCTTAGTACACAATATGCCATAGTTTCAGAACATTCTTTCGCAAAGGAATACAAGATAATTTAACACCTAATCCACCCTACGTGGTGAGTTATATAATCGGCATGGATTCCGGCTAAGACCCAGATATCGGAAAACGGCACTTTCAACTAAAACCAAGATTTTCCCACCTCTAGAATTTTCAACCTCACCACCGAATTTTCGGGGTAAATGCGCATCTAATTGGTCGAATGCATAAAGACCCCTGGAAAACAGCTTTTTTTTTAAATTTACGGAGCAAGCCTGATCAACATTCGATTTCTGAATCTATTATAAATACTCATTGAAATCCAAAAGTGCCGTGTGTGTCCAACTTTCCAACCATTTAAAGAATTTAAAGGACTGCATCTAATTTTTCAAACTACCGTCACAAGCTTTCTTTTTTCTTCCTCGTCTCATCGTTATCCCACCCCATGTGTATCAGTTATCTTTATTTAAGAGAATCTTCTAGTCTACAGGTTTGAAAAGATCCATTTTTTAGTTGCATTTTCCAATAGTCTGAATGTGCATTTGTAATAAGTTTTGATCCAATTCGAGAAAATAACGGAGGTTTGCAGGGAAGAGTGTGCCGCACTTAAAGCATGCAAAGGTTAATTACACACTGGAACAGATTTCATTGAATAAATTAAGGCGAAGACATGATTTCCGTTAGAGAACGACGAACCGATCGAGGCCCGCAGCGCCTCGACAATCCCGCGTCACCTTCGCTTGGCCGGTTTGGCGCGATCGCTCGAGAGATCACAAAATTACCAAAAACTGAAGGTCCAGGAAGACTCAAACTCCACCAAAACAACTCAATGGCTTCCCCGGAGGCCAATACTCATATGACACCTAAAAGCATCAGAAACACGATTCGTATAGACTAAAAAATACTCTTCTCAGGCGGTCCGTCGCCGAGGTAATCGGCACGGAGCGGCCAGCTAGCTCAGAGCGCTCGCACCAAAATTCAGAGAGGGTGGGGTAAGACTGTGTTACGCAAACTCTTAAAAAGGGATTCTGATAATGCCAACTCGAAAAATAATTCCGCTTAAGAAAATAAAGAACAGGAAATAGGCGTGGTACCCGACTGAAAAAGAAATGAATCCGACAGTAAATTAAAGAGACAAGATTGTAATACAAAAAATAAGTGAAGATATTTAACCTGGAAGTCGGCTGCCCGATTTACAATAATTTACCATTGATCAGTGCCGTACGACAGACGAGAGAGTGTCAGATAAATTTACGACCAGGAAAGTTTTACATGACATAATTAGGCAGGATTCAGGTAAAGGGAATTACAAAATATTAAAGCAGGGAATAACTCGTTCGACTTCAAAATCCGTAGAGATACAATTGAAATTAACCGGATTCGGGAAATTGACTCACAAGAGTCCGGTAACGCATGATTATTTAAGTAAAGACAAAGGCATTAGAATTATGACGAACGAGGCAGTGGGGCTGTCATAGCGATCACACCCACATTTTAGTTCACTAAAATCCTGTACGAAAATCCTACCTTCGTATCCCCCAAATCGCACGTTGCGATTGAAATCGGAGTTCCTGTTCCACGAAACCTTAACCTGGCCAATATTCGCGGCTGGATAACATAGTGTATGTGATACTAAAACCCGGAGGGAATAACTCCGGAAGACACATAAACACGCGGTTGATTTTAGCCCGCGAGCCCAAAATAGTTAGATATCATTAGTTGAAACAGGGCTGATCAGCCATCCCGAATTAGATCCCAATTTCTCATTGAAGTTCTAAGTTAACACGTTGTTGACCGATCACGAGTTAACTCGTGCCGGACTGACTAGCGCTGTCAAATTGCCGGTCAACAATGTGTTAGCAACTCTGGACTTCGATCCTACCAACGGCCAAATTTCAAATCAAACGCATCGGGCAGAATTCGAGAAGTGGGGAAGGGAAAACACGGAGAGACACGAGGACGGTTATTAAGACCGATATGAATCCCAACCCAAAGCTAATTATCCAAAGAACCTTTGCTCCCATGTTTCCATATTCCTTTGTCGATTCGGTGGTGAACACATAGAACGCACCGTTGGTAGAATAAGCCGTTCTTACTGAGAATCATTTCCTTTCCCGTCCTTTCCCGATCTGAGCACGTGGGTCAGGGAAAACCCCCTTAATCCAATGTTACGGGGCGGCCGTGCGGATGCGAGGCCGGGGTGATTCGGATAGAGATTACCCGAATCTTGCGCGTAACGATTATTTTAATTTTGTGAGGGGATTGATTCGAGCGGCCAGATCAATTCCTCTGGTGGGATCTAGAGGAGTGAGGATAAAAAAGGGGTGCGAACGAATGGCAATGTGGCTAGTGTATTAAGATAGTTTGCATTTATTCGTCCGTGAGGTCTGAACTACAATCAGCTGGGAGGGCAACCGGGGTGCCTTGACCTAATTTCTCTAGGTTAGTATACTTCCGCGTCGCGGCGGTTCAGATGTCGCGATAGCGTGCTTTAGCGGTGGCAGGTTACTGGACGCCGGAGTGCTGATGCGGGAATTTCTTACTGTTTTAATGGCGGTCTACGCGTGATTCTGCTTCGCGCTGCTGAGATTCGGGCTCAGCTGTTTAATGGAAGTCGATGGATTCTTAATCTATCCGGATAACCGAAGCAAGGCATGGAAATCGCGATAATGGTTAGAATTCGGTTTTTGTCGAAGATGAAGGGTTAATAAATAAACTAGAATGAAAATGAGGATGAATCGAGCTTGCGAAGGATCCTCTACCTGGCTTGCTAAGCGGCCGTAATCGGTGACAGTCTCTTTTGATCGACCCGGTCGGATGACTGTGCGTGAACACCTTCGTCCCATGACGTGCCCTAGGGCTGGAGGTCTCCTAAAAGCCTCCCGTCCAACAGAAGTCGCAGTGCCGCCGTATAGTCCTGACTCGGAGGTTGGATCGCTGGAGTACCGGATGGCGCTACTGCAGCTCGCAGGAAAGTGGTCCTTGGCAGGGAGTCCATTGGTCTCGGTCTCTGACTCGCTAGGAACGGAGTACCGGGGACCAGGAGCTCCACTCGAAGTTTCGATGACGACTGACGTTGACTTATTGACAATTGACTAAAGACTTTCGACTAATGACATTATGACTGCCGTCTTGATCGGACTGCTGGTATTATTAGCAGGATGTTCCAATTGGTGTGGGTTCCCTAGGGCCCAGGTGAGGGTGGCGTTTCTGAGTCGTGCTGATGCGTTGCGGAGTCGTCAGGTTGTTTGCCCCGGGTCGGTCAATGACTTTTGGAGCCGTTTGGCCGATGAACTCGTTGGATTCTTTCGCAAGAGTTTCCTAATCGCGTTTCTGTACTCAGATTTCCATGGCTAGCTCCGGTGATTGAAAAATAGGGTTTTTCCCTATGTTAGGGTACGGAAGGTGCCTACGTAACAGTCTAACCCGAAAAAATGTCATGTTATCGATTTCAAGATGCGGCGTATCAACACATCAAGGATAAAAACCAATCAGAATTGCAACAGAAGTGACCACGAGATTAAGCGCAATTTTGATTGGTTTTTCATCTTCGGCGCGTTGACGTGTCGTACTCGGTGTGATTATCGATCGTTGCAGCGCTGTGTGCTGCAGTTCATTTTCATTTCCCAAGGGGCGCCATCGAATGTCGTACGAAAAGTCGTATGAAGGTTGACCTATCATGTGAGTGCGAAAATGGTAGTCCATGACTGGAAGGACGACTCTGACGATATAAGAACAACGTTTCTGAGATCGCCGAAAACTTTATCGTGCCATATCTTTACGTAGATAGCAGAAAGCACAGTACATTTAAACCGGTACATTTAAAAAAAATTCCTGATTTTTTGTTGCAATTTTTGAGTTGATCGAAAGTTTATTTCTTTATCTGTAGCAATGAAGAAATTATTTTTCCATTTCCCCAAATCCTGAAATCTCTGTCCTTACTGTATAGAACTCTGTAGCGTCTCGCTCGAACTCAATGGGCAAGGCGCGATTCCACGTCACTCAACGCTACGAGGTTTTTTATGTATATCTACTAGAGACTATCGACATCACTTTAACTAAATTTAAGGAAGTTTCTTCCTAGTAAAATAATAATTAATACTGACCAATATATCCTTTTTCTCGCGTGAAATTTGCTCCACGATGAGATCAACAAAACCATGAGTGCAGAGATCTTCCGCAGCTTAAAGAATTCATTAAAAATAGTCACATTAGTGCTGTACAACTGTAGACGAGAATGCATTTTGTTATAGTCAACAATTATTAATATTAACACGAGACTTGTAGACATTTTATGTCATACTGTTTCTACGGACACTCGTTCAATTGACGGATGAACGAAACCCCGTATTGAAAAAAAGTGATTTCTTTAATTCAGAAACAATTTAATTATTCATTATTAACTTCTAAAATTAGTTTGGATATATGTTCGTATTGTTTGAATAATGAGTCAGCAAAAATTACTAAAAAAAGAAAATAGTAATAGTTTCTGCAATTTTGCTTTTAAAATCCGAATGCCATGAAATTGATTCAAGAAATCTAGTGTCGAAATCTGGTCCCGTAAATTCAATAAGGCAAAAATTGTAATTATTAGCTTACCAGGCCAGTATCGAGACAACATTTCAATTGTCTTAGCCATTTGTATACGAACTACAGCCAAATGATCTTCGAGGCCTTTGGCCAAGTTGCTGACCGTAATGACATTTTTCAAAATCGAGTTTCTGCCCTCCAAATAACGTGCTAATGCTGTAAAAGTTATCGCTACTCGTCCTCTCAAGTAAGAATCTTCCGATGCCAATAAATCGCTGAGTCTGTTATGAGGATAAGAAACGTTATTTGTTACCATTTCAATTTATAAAAGCATTGAGAAATCCTGTAACTGTATCACTTTATTTTGACATTATTTTAGCATTAACTAGCGACACTTAAGCAGTAGTGGGTGAATTCTGTATTGTATAAACAAATATTTGGATCGTATTGCAAAAATACAGAAGTTTTTTTTATATATTATGTGATTCTGTGCATTGACGGTGAAGTAAAACCCGTAATGAAATTTAATCGAAGTCAGTGAAAAAGATTGTTTTAACTATCTATGTTTCTGATATTCACATTTATATTTATTAGGAGTATAAATAAGTTTAGTGCCTTTTTAGCATAATTGTACTGTTTATTCACAAAAAACGAATATTCCGTCAATCATCGAAATAGTCCCATCATTTTCCACACACTTTTGCCATTTCTTAGGCAACTGGCAAATTCCGCCTCGGTAAAATGACGGTGGTTTTAACTTAATAAAGACATCGATGGTTTTTTTGACCTCCTCGGGAAACCGACAGTCGGAATCCACCAAGTGATGCTGAAACTATCGAAACAGGTAATAATCAGAAGGGGCAAGGTCCAGAGAATAGGCCGCACACGGGAGAATTTCCCAGCCCAAAGAAGAAATAATAACTTCCAAAGTCGCTTTTGCCCTATGCGGCCGCGAGTTATCGTGCAGCAAAATCACCTGTATGTTTCAAGCGCCGGTAAATGGTACTTTTCGGTCGTTTTCGTCATTGAAACAAATGAGTTGCTGTCGATAACGTTCAGAATTAACAGTTTCAAAGGGTTTCAGCAACTCATAATATATAATGCCTTGAAAATCCTTCCAAATATACAGAAACAGTTTCTTATCGTGAATATTCAGTTTGGCAGTACTTGTTGATGGCTCACGTGGATGTACCCACGACTTTTGTCTGTTGGGATTGTCGTACAATACCCATTTATCATTCCCAGTTACAATTTTATGAAGAAAGTTCTTTTGCTTGAATTGTTACAGCAGAGAAATGCTGTGTCACAGCGTTTCATTTCGTTTTCAATTCACTTTTTATATGTTGTATGGGTTACAGCACTTTCACCCAAAGCCACCGCGCCAACGCGGTCGAACGGCGCCGAAGAGAGACGGAGACGCCCGACCGTCGAGCGGAAAGACTCTCGAGAGCGAAGCCAAAATGACAAGTCGCAAGGAATGTGTGCGTGCGTTCCAAAAAGCCTGGAAGACATTTGTCGCAAATCCCAAACGCTCCATCGTCGAGCCATCTACCTCAGGCCCCGTGGATTCCGTCTGACCGACCTGCATCGCACTCCTGACCGCCACGAGACTTCTCGACCGGACGGCTTCGCTATTCTGCTGCCGCCACCGCTATCGGCTCTCGCCACGTGGTTCGCCAAATTCCCAGACGTACCATCCCGACCCTTCGCGAGTAAAGTAAGATAGGTTAAGGGTATACCAACACGGAACAAAATCTCAAATATACGTACTGTAACGAATGACAAGAAACGGGGGGAAGGGTTCCGGGTCTGTAATGCCCGGACGATCGTTCGTCACCTTCGCCCGATCTAGGCCAAGCTGTTCGAGCTACTGAAAGAAAACTTGCACCGGGAACGGGATACAAATTGGGCGCCAAGCCTCCCCGGAGGCCAAAAGATAAACTCTCAACTCTTGACAATCTCGAAGTCTCAAACTCTCGAATAACAGCAAAATGAAACTCGAAATACTCAGCTCGAACGGTCTCTCCATCTCGACGATCGTCGCGTCGTGGCCGACCAGCTCAGAGCGCACGCGCCCAGGCTCGGAGAGGGCGCGGTAAGACCAGAGTGCGGGAAGGGAAAAATTCAACTAAATATAGGAAACTCAAACCGAGGAGATCCGAAGAAGTCAGCCAATGAAGCAAAGCGAAAGCCAATCTAATAAAGAAAGTGTACAAATTTATTCGAACAATAAATCGAGAAAGAGAATTATGTGGTTTAATAAGTTGGAGTAATAGAGTAATAGAGAATTGCAAACAAAACGGGGTTCGATGGAAGGCCGCCCCAAAGAAAATTGGGTCAGGCGAGGAATCCTCGCCAGACAATCGCGCGAAATACAACTTAAATTTGTTAGTGGAAAAATCGAACGAACCGGAAATTACAAAATTTAATATCCGAAAATTGGGCCGGACTCGAAACATTTCAAAAAAATTAAGACGGTTCGCAATAAAAGGGGATTTGACAAGTCCTAAGAACGATTCGGCGCCAGGAAAGACAAGTGCGCGCGAGACCATAGGTTGAGAATCCGATCGGCGCCAATTCAGGAGTTCAACTCAAAAATTAACCACCAATACTTAAGGTGAAGTGAAACACATCGAGGAACTTGATTGACGTCGATAAAGAAGATTTTTCTAAATGCCTACGTTGCCGACGTTCGTTTTTATATTGACAGCTGTATCGAATTATATTGGGTATTGTACCAAATGGCATACTCCACCTGTCGTTTCCGTATAATAATTATAAAGAAACCGAAGAAAAACTCCAGAAATCCTCTGGATTCATGCTTTCTGGGGCCCGAATTGACTGCAGAGGAACCCCCTGCGCCATCTGTGATTTCCAGGGCAATTAAATTTTCACTTCGAGACCTTGTATTTCCATCGTTTTGGCATAGAAGCGCATACAACACTTTTTTTGCCTTTATCCCGTTCAAATGCGAGTTTATTGATTACTAGAGTGTTCTAAATTGTTGTAAAATTGTCCTGACCCTTTCGATTCTCATATCAGAGCCTTCGATAATTGTATATCGATCGAAATATGAGAGCCCGACGCCATTTTGGTTCTGGTCTGGGCTGAGTGAAAAAATTAAAAAAAAAAATCGAAATTTTCAATGTGTCAGGACAATTCTCAGATGATCAGGAATGATGTGTCAAAGTTTCGGACAGTTTGGTCTGATACCCTTAAAAAAAAGTGTTGTATTCGAATCGACTGATTTGAAGGGGGTTTCACTTCACCTTAAAGTTGGGGAAGCTAAGCAGATCGTGATACTTGGAAGACAGACCCGACTTGAATCAAAAAGGGGTCCGGTGAAGTCAAAATGGGTTACAAAGAAAAAGAATGCGCTCACTTTCATGTACGGAATTACCTAGAATTACGCGAGGTCGAAGCTACGCGCACAGACAATTCGCCTCGAAATCGCTCTATAGTACTCAAGTGTTAATCTTATGACGCGAAATTATCCATAAACAATTTAGTTCGATATCAATCAATCGAAACGATCTCAGAATTGTAAAACTTTCTCAAATCACTTACACAAAATTACGCCAGAAAATACAACGCGGAATTAACTATTCGAAATACGCTCTACATTACGCAAATTCTGAATTACGCAAGCTGATAGCTTAACAGGAGACAATAGAGTCCCCCAGAATGGAAAATTCGGCCGCGAACGCGGGTGACCGCGTGGTCGCCGCGCGGCTTCTCCGCTTCCGACCTCGAAGAAAAGACAATTAGACAATCCTAACAGACTCGAATACTAGCCACGAAGAAATAGACTCAAAATTATCGCATCAGGAAATTTACCTCACCAAAGACCAAAACCGTTCACAAATCTCCACGAGAAAACCCAAACTAGATTGTCGCGGCCAGACAATCTATCGCTCGAACTACACGCTTTTACCTAAAATGGCGTGTTAGAATACTTCGGGACACGACAAAAAAGAGAAAGAGTTGCTCTCGTGTCCGCTCGAGGAGTACAGCGGCCTCCCGAGAGGCCAAATTAGAATTCGGCCCCTTTTCACCGTAAGCCCCATTAGGGAAAACCGGAAGACCGTCCGCATGGAAAATTGGAGAACTGACCTCATGATACACTTCCGACCACCGGCGCGACACGATCCGGGCCAAACGGTTTCGGAAAAAGGACCGAGAACTCTGAATAATGTACCGACAAAAGGGGTCCTCGGAATGGGCACTTCCGCGCTGCTAATAGGCTCAGATACTCCTTCTTTTCCGATTTTGGCGGAATCGGCGTGCGTCGGCCCGGTTCCCAAGGCCAGTGGTGCGACGCACGCCATCGTTGCCCGGCAAATGCGCCACCGCAACCCCCGGTCCTGCGAACTAGGTCAGCGCACACCGATTCCGCCAAAATCGAAAAAGAAGCAGCTTCGCAGCCAATTAGCGGCGCGGATTAGGATTCGGTTGGGCCAGCCGAATTCCTACAAAGAAGAGCGTACGAAAAACGCCGACTTCTCTGTTAATATTTTTTATCA